AATAAAAATTATTATTATATATTATTATTATTATTATTAAAAGTTTGAAACATATTGGTGGTGGGGGGAAATCAATAATTAGTGTGCCTTATTTGCATAATTAGAATGCAAATGAGAGGAAAACACATAATTAGAATAATTTGCATAATATGAAAATTAGATGTCCTGATTTGAGGAAATAGAATATAGCAACCATACACAAACCCATCTGTTAGCTACCGGATCCCACTCTCCACAGTCATTTAGTGAATGGTGGAGAGCTGGATCCACCACAGAAGTATCTAGCTATGTGAGAGAGTAGGGGGCTGCATTAGCCTATCCAGGAGATCTTGAAGGGCCATATTCCCTCCGCATATGCTGCAAAAAAATAAAATAAAATGTCTCTGAATGCTTCCTAAACACCTCCTAGTGGGTGTGGGGACATTTTTGTTATGCTTTGAGGACTTTTTAATAACCCAAAGTAACTCAGAAGTCACCTCCTGTTTTAAAAAGGCTTCTCCTCGGCGTAAAATGATTGAGGGGGACGAAAAACATGGCAATATGCCCCCATATGTCCTATGGTATAGCTAGATGCCAAAAAATGATGTCATCTACCAAGATCTCTGGAGGCCTTCTACTTTCCACTGGTCACTAAATGACTGTGAATGAGGAATGCTCCTGCAACCAAAAGGTAGCTGGGGGGGAAGGGGGGAGAGACTTGGTATATAGTCTCAGAAGTGGAACATTTATGTGACATTTCCATGATGTAAGATCTTGGCCACCATTAAAAATCTCTAGGTCTGCTTTAGCAAAATGCCCTATCCCTTGTGATTACTGAAATTCCATGTTAGTTCTTGACTGGGACACCACAATAACGGTAACCCAAGTTGTGTCACAGCAGTTATTTCCTTACTTGGCAATCCCTCAATCCAGACCAAACTTTTTCCTACCCAGACTCACTTTGCCTTTTCTCAATTCCAGATTTGTGGACAACTTAAGCAAGCTACAGGACAGGCCTCAAATTATGAGAGGCCATAAATAAATAAATAAATAAATAAATAAATAAATAAATAAATAAATAAATTGAAGTTGTATCTTGTTAGAATAACACACGGGGCAGGGTAGTGTTATGGGATCTCTTAAATCTGACATATTACATGCCACTAGCTGCCACTCCATGTTTCTTAGAAAGAGAGAAAAAGTTGTTACCAGTGAGCACAAATATAGTACCATTAGAAAAAAAAAATGCTGGTCCATCACATCAGATAGCCTGGGAAGCACTGGCTCAAGACCTCAAAATGTTTTAATCTGCCCCTGTTTTATCAAGTAAACAGCTGTCTTCTCTTGCTTCTCCTGCCTATGTAGAAACATACAGCCCAAATCATATACAGGCTGTATCTCTCTTATCCAAAATGTATGGGACCAGAGGTATTTTGGAGTTTTATGAGTTTTGGAATATTTCCATATACATAATGAGGTATATTAGAGATGGGACCCAAATCTAAACATGAAATTCATTTATGTTTTGCATATACCTTATACACATAGCCTGGCAGTAAATATACTTAGTGCCTAAGCAGACCAGGGCGTCCAGGACGCCCTGGTCCGGAGCGCCGCGGGGCCATGGCAGCCGCACCGCGGCGCTCCTGCGGCGACCCTGAAAGGAGCGCCAAATTGGCGCTCCTTTTATTAGAAGTCAGGGAAAGTGCGCCCTAAACGTGTCAGGCGCACTTTCCCTGACTCTTCCGCCGCAGCCCGTACGGTCGCTGCGGCAGGAGGTTGCTCTCGGTGCGCCGGCCGTGCGGAGGGCCGGCAGCTCCGAGGGCAACCTCGGGAAGAGGAAGGGGTGCCGCTCGTGCGGCTGCCCCTCCTCTTCCAGGCCTCAGAGACGACTCTATTAGTCGTCTGCCGAGG